AAAAGATTGAGTCCTGCCTTAAACCAAAAATAACACATAAAATCAACAGAACAAAATGAGGTACAACTCCTTTTTCTAACCTATGAAACATAAATCCTGAGCGATTTTCTAATACTAAACAAAACATTTTCCTTCAAACAATTTCCATTTGATTCTGATATTGTCACAGATGGTACAATTTTCAAATACATTAATCATTTACTAGATTAGTAATTCTAAAATTAGATAATACCATTTTCATTAAAAAGCATACTATTAGTAACTAAGAAAAATGTCTTACAAATTAAATGTTAGTGGTTAAATGTTAGTGGTTTTAACATTCTGTGTTGCATTCAGTTTTACACCGTCCCAGATGTTAGTTTTGGAAGATTTTTGATCTTCCGTGAATCGAGCAAACTTCTCTCTCCCACGGTCACTCAAGTGATACTGCCCTGAGATGTCCTGTCCTCTCTGATAACACAACAGGAGCCTCAGTGAGAGTTCCCTTTTTAATCTCTATTTTCCTTCTGTACTTTGAATACTAACCCATCAACAGTTTAGTTTTTAAATCATTAACACAAACCTGTCCAAAATTAGGAAATTTGTTCAAAATGACCATGCTCAATATACCTTTTACTCATGCCGTAAGATTAACTGTATTAAACACTAAAAATAATCATTTTTCCTCAATAGTCCCCCTTTTGAGGTCTGAGACACACAGACCTCACAAATAAATTGATTAAGCCTCCCAACAGAGGAACAAAAAATTCTCAGTACACCAAAATAATTAAAACATTGACCTTATTATATATAACACTAGATAAGAGAATGACACAACATACGGCAGGAAAGACAAGGATCTGATGGGGAAACACAGTCAGAGTATAAATACATGCAATAATCAGGAGAATGAGACACAGTCAGCGAACAATGAAGGGCAAGACACACAGACACAGAAACTAAATTACCAAAAACACACATAAATTCATATCTTCACAGTCCCCCCATCCAGTGGTGGAAATTAGCACCCGCCACTGGCCAAATGCGGATAAAAAGTATGAAGTGGAGTGTAAATTGGAGCAATGCACCCACCACTGTGGCGGGTTGACATTTTGATCAGAACAACAACAACAACAAAAAAAGCTGCATTCAATTTGAACTTATGTCCAGAGGAGGACTAACCGTCTGGACTACAGACTGATGCATTTACCGTCCATATCTGGCGGCCCTACGTCATAATTTAACAAAAAAAGTATATTAAATATAATTTTTATCGACTGCGACAACCCTTTGGTTGATTTTACTGACGGACACTGGGCTTATCCAATGAAATCTCACGTTTGTAATTGGCCCGCCCTTCCCCTCTAAGGTTATAAATAGAGTCATTTCAGCTAAAGTTGCTGCTAAAAACTAAATTATTTCATAGAATTTAATTATAGTAAGTGTGTTTGTGAATGAAGGCATGGTATACAAAGTTGTGCACAAGTATGTATGTTTTAAGTGTGAATGTGTGAGTGTATGTTTAGATAGAATTAAGGTAGAATATATGTATATATAGATGAGGATAAATATTTAAACCATCACGGACCACACTCCATACCAGTAAGTGGTGGTAATGCTACTAAAAGTTTGTTGCCAACCGCCATAAAACCGACAAGAAGAAGAAGAAGAAGAAGAAGAAGAAGAATGTTGCTGCTAACCTGAGTCCGAGAAAACTTAGGGGATACGAGACGGGTCAGAAAAAATACGACAAACGCTAACAAGCACATAAGCCCATTCATGAAAATGTGTTAAACTAACCGATATGTTTACCACACAAACTTTGACCGCTGGAACAGATTCAGTAGCGAAGATGGAGGGAGAATTAACGCTTCAGGGGCTTTATTATCATCGGAGTAGGATGATTATGAAAGAGACCAGAGACAGATTGAGGAAGAGTTAAGATTTGCTGCTAACAATAACAACTGTTAGGAGTGAAAATGTTCATAAAGAAAAAATTTAATGCAGACCGGAGGGCAGGTGTGTGTGAGAGAGTCTGGGAGAAATCAACACTAAGGTCCAGACAGGGGTGAAAGTAGTTTTAAATTCTTGGGGGTACTATGACAAAAAAAATAATAAAAGCTGGGTAGCTCTTGTAAAATAAAGCTGTATTTCCTTCAGCCCACTGGCTGCAATGTTGACACCTTGAGATGCCAGGAGACCTAAATTCTGAACATTATGGCATGGAGTGCATCCCAGTTTTCCATATCTGGGATATAACCATTCATTTTAGCTTTTAAACTGGTTATGTTGATCCTGTGTCCAGACAGAGGGATTATCAGTAGCCCAGCATCATGACCTGTTTGTTCTGAAGATCCAGCAGCTTCCACTTCTCTTCCGAACATGACGCCTTTTAAACTTCTGCTCTGCTAGTTATTTTGGTAATGGAACCGGAATGCACAGAATTGCACAACACCTTGTTGAAACAATAATTACTGAGATTGTTCATTGGGTCATTAATTTGAACACGTTTTGTTGATTTATTTTTGTTGTGGTTCTTTAATAAAGTTACGAACTTTTTAAGCGAACTGGAGAGGACGTGCTGGTCTCAGCGTCCTCGCGACGTTCCGTTTGTCACCTGATGCCGAGATCGACTCAAAACCTTCCGCGATTGTCATGTTGCACCGCTGCTCTTTTGCTCTTGCAAAGCACAAACAGTTCAGAAACTATGAAATGAGAAAAAAAGTAATTCACTAACTGATTAAGTCTTGTTTTAGATTGTTCTTGAAAAACTAATCAGTCACGGCTGATTAGTGGGTGAACTCACTGCTGCACATTGAACCCGTTGATTTTTTACAGCAGACAGCCGCTCCCCTCTCTTGCAGGTACTGCATACCCCCGCTAAATCTTTTAGGGGTACGCAGTACCCTGCAATACCCCGTTACTTTCACCCCTGGTTCCAGGTAGTAAGAAAAACTCCGGAATAAAACAGGAATAATGATGGCCCATGGAATTATTAATGAACACGTTCTGAGATATTTTAGTAATGATAATTGTGAATTTCAATAGAAAACTTAATAAGTAAGATGACAGAAAACAGCTATTGATGCCATTTAAAATATGTAAATGACTAGAGATGTCTTCAATAAATACTATCAGGGGGAGTTGTAACCAAAATGTGGAAATGTTCAACATATGATTGCCAGAATGTTAGGGTTGTGTAGTTAAAGTTTGCTGCAGTAATTACTTCAAATGAACTTCTTGCTCTACAACCCTGCTAAGGTGTCCATGCTTTATGTTAAATTATTATGTATAAGTACATGTGTATGGTAAACTTATTGTCAGTAAATCGGTTTTCATAGTGTTGAGAATAAATCATATATTTTATATAATTTGCTTGTACTGGTGGGGTCTGTAATGGAAAGAAAAAAACAGTGGCTGGTGAAATGTTTGAGTGGCAGGTAAAAATTTTCTCTACCTGATACTATGGATGGTGGAGAAAATGTTTAATTTCCACCCCTGCCCCCACCACTGGACGGCTGCCAGACATTCCAGAAGTCCAAAACAACAAAAATCACCCACACATGGTGGGCAGAGGGGCACAGGATGGAGTGCCAGAGTCCAAGAAAACAAATAAAAATAAACTCAGTTTGAATATTCAAGCAGTCAGGGCGGAGCCTTCTGCAACACGTTTGGTGAGCGGCAATGAAGGAGGCGGACTCATTGTGGCGCATCTGGAAGTCGGCAGCGGCGCTGGAGGCGGACCCTTTGGAGAACTTCCGGTGGTAGCCCAGAGGTCAACGTGACCCCACAGAGTGATCGGAGGGTGGTCAGAAGCCCGCAAGGACCCATGAAGAGTGTCTGGAGGCCAGCTGGAGCCATGAGGAATCTCGGGAAGACGGCCTGGAGGTCAGAGGACCTGGACGTTGGCTCGGTAGGCTGGTTGGAGCCATGAAGAGGACCTGGAGGTCAACCGGGAGGCCGGATGGAGCGCCGGCAGATGGCTCTGGACAGCTGGACGACAGTACAGGTATGTTAACTACCGGCTCTTGGGTATTAGCTGCTGGCTCTAGCTATGGCTAGGGGATGTTTTCTGACGCTTAGCACTTCCCAGTGTTAAGTGTCAGAAAATTTCTTTGCCCACTTTGTCTGGGGGCTGGATGTGTTACTGATCCTGGTGACGCAGGAGAGAAGGAATTGTTGGTTAATGGTGAGGATTCAGACGTGGTGGGACCCAGGTTTAGGTGCCATTATGATAGTTTTTAATGATGATCACAAAAGTACAGAAGACCGGGCAGCACATGTGAGCAATGAAACAAGGAACTCAGACACTGGTAGCACTGGAAACACATGACTTGAATGGGACAAATGACTAACAAGAAAACCATAACCCCTCCAGACACAGGTGAGTATAAATACACAGAGGGTAATCAGGGGAAATGGGGGACAGTTGTAAACAATCAAGACAACAACAACATAGGGACTAATTAACACACAGAAAACCAAATCTTCACAGGACTGATGAAAAATATTAAAAGTCCAAAGATTTGATCTCATGTCAAGCATTGCTATATTTAATTGCTCCAGACCTGATGCTGTGTACACTGTGCTGACTTTCAGGAAGTGATTCATAAGGATACAATGAACTGATTTTACACAATAACCATTTTATTCAAAAGACCACATTGTTGCAAATTATTAGTACATCTACTACATTTTTTTTTCTCCATCACAAAAAATCACGGAAAAAGTACACAAAAAGCTACATAATAATCAGCTTAAGACGTGGGGAAAGTTTGATTGTTACAATTTCTGGCTTCAAGGTCTAAGCTTTTGCTTTATAAGGGCAAGACTCACTCTCACAACACAACAGGACAGAGACATAATCTTTGGCCTCAAAAAGTTTAAATCTTGCAAGATTTAATTTCAGTCATATGTTAAAGAAACTTCAAGGTGAGTGGATCATTACTTTGAAGATTAAGAATAATTCACTAAAGATTTTTATATCTTTATCTTAATCTTTATGTTGGTTTTTTTTAGACTTCTAGTCAGCTGATGATGGATTTGAAATTGTGGCTCTCAATTCTGATGGTTTGTGGTAAGCTTAGCATGAAAATGACAATTCATGAAATATCGTCATTTCATCACTGTCTACTTGCTGAAAAAGTATTTTGTGCTTTATTGCAGATATGGCTGAATCTATGGGCCCGGGCCAGAACTGGCGCATATCTGTACCACCAGTAATCCCTGTTCTTGAAAGTTCATGTGTGGTCATTCCCTGTCTGTATGATTACCCCAAGAAAGGTCACCTGTGGAAAAAGAGGCCGGGATACTGGAGAAGAGGTGACGATATTGTCGCATCAAATAACCCCAAGTTCAAAGTAACGCAGGAGTTCAAAGGGCGATCCAAAATTACAGGAATCATTGAAAGAAGTGTCTGCACCTGGCAGCTGAATGACGTCAGAGTAACCGACGCTGGTCCGTTTTACTTGACTATTGAAATTCCAGGATTTACAAGCTACACTTTCTCAAAAGATACGGTGGCCCTCAATGTCTTCCGTGAGTATATTAGAGACCTTTTCAGTAATCCCAAACCATTTACTTTAAGATAGTAAAACATGTTTAAATAACTATTTAACAAGTAATTTTGTGAAAATTGTTTATTGTACAGAAGTTCCTGAGCCTCCAGTGATGACTATAGAAGTCAGTAATAAAGTGACTGCCACCTGCAAAGTTACTCACGTCTGTCCAACATCTCCTCCAAAAATCTCTTGGAGTCACCCCGGAACTACCACAACGACAACAAAATTGACCAAAACGTGGTTAACAACGTCGACCCTCACCTTCACCCCTGAAGAAGCCGACTTCAACAAGCCTTTAAACTGCACGGTGAATTTCAGTGACAAGAAGACTGCAGAGGGCTCTGTGCTTCTGGTCAAGAAGAGTACCTAGTTAAACTAAATATGGAATACTAACTATGGAATACTAAATTAAAGCAATATTTTCAGAGCTATCTGCCATAATGACAAAGTGATTTGGCAGAAAAGGCTTTAAGATTCTTTACCTTTGATGATTTTCTAATAGAATTTATGGATTTATCTTGTTTAGCTGTTTTTCTTTCTTTTACCCTTTATCAACTGTA